CGGAGTGGTTGGGAGCTGGGCACACCCCTCACACACCCTCCCTATCCCCGCCTCATCGCCTTATTCCACTCCCGTCGTCCCCTCTCCATCGTCCCCCTCTTCTCCATCCCTCTCTTCATCCTCCCACCCGGCACCTCCCCATCATCCCCAGCCCCGTTATCCCTCCCGTGCCCCGCAGGCGCTGCAGAGCCGCGGGTACCAGAAGCTGGTGCTGCAGGTGGGCCGGGGCTCGCTGCCCCAGGCGCAGCCCAGCAGCAGCTCGGCCGTGGCGGTGGAAGTGTTCCGCTTCAAGGACTCGCTGGCTGAGGAGCTGCAGAGGGCAGATCTGGTCATCAGCCACGCAGGTACAGCCCCGGCTGCTTCCTCGGGCTGCGGGAGGTCGGGGGGTGAATCTCTCCGGCTCCAGGGTGGGCTGGCTGGGAATGCTGAGGTCCACAGCTAGAGTTGGGTTGTTCAAGAGGCTCCCCTGTTTCAGCAGCAAGTAGGGCGATATTTCATCTCTCACCATGTTTTCTGTTTCTTTCGTAGGTGCTGGTAGCTGCCTGGAGACTCTAGAGAAAGGAAAACCACTAATAGTAGTAATAAATGACAAGCTGATGGACAACCATCAGCTTGAGCTGGCCAAACAGCTCCACAGAGATGGCTGTGTCCTCTACTGTAACTGCAGGTATGGAGCTGCTGTGGCTGTTCCTGCTGGACAAGAACATTCAGTCCATGTGACTGCAGAGCTGAGAATGTAACAACGAAATGTACATCCTTCTCTGTAATCTCCATCTGGATACTAGATTTGCCAGAGTGAATACTAACATTAGGTAGTAATTTACCACACTTACCAAGCCTTTTGACCATGGCCTCTTTTAATTATTTTTTTCTATTTGAGGGTACGTGTCTTTAGATTAAAAGAAGAAAAACACTTGAATTCAGGGAGATTCATAAATCAGACATTATCTGGTTAGTAACTTTAAGTACTTCTGCTTTTCAAGTACTTATTCAGGCTGCCCTTTTAACCAAACTTCCTGAATCCACCATACCCTCTGACAAGGGGTTTCACAGATCTACTGCCTGTCACTTCAGGGGAAAAACCCAAATGAAACAAACAAAACACACCAAAAAAAAACCACCAAAAAAAAACCAAGCAAAAAACACATGAAAAAATCCCACAGTCACCAAAACCACCTAGCTCCTTTTTTTACCAAAAACTCCTGTTTGGTTTATTTCTTCTCCAGGTTTTGACTGTGTCTTACTGTTTTCTCTTTGCTTGTGACTGACTCCACTCTTAAAATAACAGATGACTTTTAAACTGAAGGCAGAGAAAATGTCACTCCCATTACTTAGTCTTCATCTTGTTCCTTTGCCCTGCCAGCAGAATTTCATGTTTCAGAAGAGCTTTCTGAACAGACCAGGCCTGGCATTTGTTTACACTGAACAAGTTTCTTAAACTCATTATCTTGGTGCTTCTTGTCAGCTTTGGAATTTTTATTTCTTTGTGTTGGGCGGTGCCAAGCATTTGAGCCTTATTTGCAGCCTGATAATAGCAAGTAACAGATTGACATAGCTGTTCTTTCTGGCTCTCTGATCAGGGGAGAACTCTGCCATGTGTTCAAATAGGATGGATTTCCTCCTGTGCTTTATGGAGAAGAGCCTCAGATCTTGTTCAGTCTCCCAGCATTGCAACCACAGAGGATTAAAAAGTTTAAAAGTTTGAGTTTGTCTCTGAAAGATAGAGAAGTGTGTTCTCAGCAATGCTGCATACAAGCCAGTGCTGGCTGGGGCTGCTGCTCTGTGCATTCTCTTCCTTTCCATACAGACCCTTATTTAATATTTCCATGCTAAGGAATACAGCCAGAAAAGTTTGCTTCATTCTTGGATAAAGTTCTTGGTTTGCAATAAACAAAATGGAGAAATAAAGAAGTTGGAATAAAATGTCTCATTTCTTACGCTTAAGATCTAGCAACTGGGCCTAACACTTGAAAAATAGATAATTTAATATTAACCGAGATTAAATGGCTTCCATTTTAGTGCCCAACTCGTTCTAATCGTTTTAAGCTTTATGCTTAAAAGAGTACAATGCCAATAAGGGGGGGGGAGTATGGACTGTGTAGTTGCATGGACTGATATTTTTATCACAAAAGCTGCACTGGGATGGTAATTCCAGTGATGAGGACAAACAAAACTACTTTTTTACAGGCATGGCATGTGCACAATGGCCTCTTGACCATTTTTGTCAAATACAGGCAGAAATAAATTGTCTTTGTTAATGTTCCTGTGATGTTCTGCACATGCCTTCGGCTCTTGTTTCATGTGTTTACAGAAGCACTGAAAAGAGCTTAAAAGTGAGAGATTAAAGCTTAAAAAGAGAAAAAGGCATATGTGGTGAAAAAAGTCACAAGCAGCTGTCAAACTGCTGCCCTGGGTTTGGCAATACAATTGCTCCTTTTGCACGGTGTTACCCCATCCTAATCCATCTGTTTGGACTTCTCCACACCCAGTGTTTCCTATTTCGATTACATGTAAGGAAGAAATTCTCCCTTGTGAGGGTGGGCAGGCCCTGGATCCCTCCTGGAAATGTCCAAAATCAGGCTGGACAGGGCTTGGAGCAGCCTGGGATAGTGGAAGGTGTCCCTGCCATGGCAGGGAGGTTGAAACTGGATGAACTTTAGGGTCCCTGCAAACCTAAGCCATTCTGGGATTATTTGATGCTGATCAGAGCTCCCCATTTAAAATATTAATAATGATGTTGATGCTACATTGATTTCTTCAAGTATTTTGAAAACCAAAGGTGGTTTAAAGTTTAAAATGTTCATGCATATTCTTAGGCTTCTAATGTTCTAGAACTTTAGATGTGTATAATTGGTGCTAATTGCCTTTCCTACAAGGACATTATTCTTTTGGGGGGGCGGGGGGTTGCTTTTGTTGTTTAAAACAAGAAAATTAAACTCCTTAAAATTAAACTCAATTAAATTGGCCCCATCTTATGTCTCAGTACAATTTTTATGAGGAAATTAAATGTACATAGAGGCATTCAAAACAACCACAAAAGACTACAGGTGGAATACATCAGGCCGGGTCAGTTTTGCCAATCCCCCAAAGTTAACCCAAATACTCAATTGGGAGCGACTAAGATTTTTCTTTCACTCCCGTAACGATTTCTATGGAGTTATTTCAAACTCACTGCTAGAAACTGCCCTCGAGGCCGGAGCGCAGAGGGGATTTCGGATGGCCATGGGAGCGATGTTCCGCTGGTTCTGTGCGCTCCAGCGGTGAAGGTGAAGGTGACGGAGCGAGCTCAGCCAAGGCAGGTGCGGGAGGAGCCGCTCCCCGCGGCTCGGGATGCGCTGCCCCGCCGGGAGCCGGCCACCCTAAAAACCGGCCCAAAACAGCGTGAAATGGC